AGAAGCATTTACTATGACAAAGAATTTGATTGCTGCTTAGAAAAATAATATAAAAGCCCCAAAAGATTGTAATACCTAAGTTCTTTGTATCTTTAGAGCCATGGTCTCAAATGTGCTGATCACACAACCCTACTGGTTAGAAATGTTTGTATACTAACTCATAAATTTATTTACAAAAATATATATACATATTACATGTGCAATTTATGTATTTAATATTATTAAAGATTAGATTTTTTCATTTTCAGTTAAGTAGGAATTCTATTTTCTTCCCACACCTCAGTGGATCATTTGGACCTACACTCAGAGTTCCTAGAAAACTATTTTATTTTTACACTCAATAGATAAGCTGACTGAACTGAGCTGTTACTACACAACATAGATTCTTGTTGTTGCTATGTGCAGTTGAGTTGGTTCCAACATATAGCAACCCTGTATAGGGTCTTTGAGGAACAGCTGGGGAACTTGAACCACTGACCTTAAGGTTTAAACCAACATTGCAGTTCAGCACATTAACCTGCATCGCCACAGTATGTTTTTGTCTTTGGCTCCTGTTTATAATTAAGGAGCTCTGGTAGCGTAAGGATTACGAGTCGGGCTGCCAACCTCAAGGCAGTTTGAAACTACCAGTGGTTCTGTGGGAGAAAGATGAGGCTTTCTGCTCCCGTAAAGATTTACAGCCTCGGAAACCCTGAGCAGGGGGGCACTATGAGTCGGAACCCACTCCACGGTACTTAACAACAACAACATGTTTATGATTAGACTCCTATCTAATTATAAATGAGCAGAAGAGAAAAAAAGGAGGACACAAATTTTGCCATCGGTTCAGCAAGCACTGGCAGAGGTCTAGATCCCAAACATATAAAGACAACAGTAGCTTTTCTCTTTAATATACTCAGTAAATAAAGTAGGGACAGAACTAGTAAAGGCAGCAGGGAAACACATTGTAATAGAACTAGAGATTTTCTATCTATGAAAAAACGCACTGAACTTCAAGCTACCTGAGCACAGGAGACCCTGCTGCTCTGATGACGACATAAATCACAACTTTATACATCCTTAACAACAACCACATGTCCTAAAGAATTGTTTTAATGTTTTACATTTATCAACTTAGTTCATCCCCACTATCAATCCCTAGAAGGAGCTCTGGTAGCATAGTGGTTACGTACTGCAAGGTCAGCAGATTGAAACTACCAGCTGCTCCGCGGGAGAAAGATGAGGCTTTCTGCTCTCATAAAGATTTACAGCCTGGGAAACCCTGTTTAGGGTTGCTATGGGTCGGAACTCACTCCACAGCACAGAACAACAACAACAACAGCAATCCCTATAGACTCCTGGTATGACACTCTAAGATTCAGCACTAGGCTTCAAACCACAAGGTCAGGGATTCAAACCCACCAGCTGCTACTTGGAAAGCCTACAAGGGTTACTATGAGTCAGAACCAACTTGATAGTACTTTAACACCAACAATCCCTATGAGGTAGGTACTTCTGTGCTTAGTGTACAGATGATGGTGCAGAGTGGTACCTAACTGACCCAACACTGCACAGCTAGAAAACAGCAGTCTGGATTTAAGCCCATGAAGCCTAACTCCAGAACCCACGGTCTTGAGCACCACTATGTGAGGGAGGCGACTGACAAACCTTAGGACACCAGAAGGCATCATCAGCCCTTGTGACACGTTAACCTCCCTTAGTGCCACAGCTGATCATAATACGAAAGCTAATAAACAAAGAAAGCATTATCAACTTATCAGGTTTCTAAAAGCAGTCCCTTGTTAACCACACAGAGAATTATCATTACCTCCATTCATTCTCATCAGAACCCCCACAAAATTTTACTTCTAAAAATTATAAAGGGATTACTGATATTTTTCATTCTTCATATTTTTTTTGTTTTGCAGGTTAAACAAGAATTCTAAGATAGTTCACAGCATTTGTATCAAGGCTATTGTAAACTAACAGGCTGGTGAAATTGCAGTTTTCCAAAAGTTCAAGGTTTATTTCATTCAGGATTTATCTATGCAAAAGGATTTCCAGATGAAATAAGTAAATTCTGAAAAATGAACTCTCCTGGGTCCTGAAATTCTACTCTCTATAAAAACTCTCCACAGATAGCCTGAGTTATTAGTGAACATGCTAAGAAGGGATAAAGATATAACTTAACAAAAATAAGGTTTAGTTTGCTAAGAGTAGACTCTGCACTGTACAACTTAGCAACTTGCCCTGAACATAAGAACTGTCTATGGCAGTCTTCTGGCTGAGGAAGCAGAATCTTACCTGGATTCGTGATGTTGAACAACTTGCAGGAGTAGGGATCCTCCCTGTCTTCCAAAGGCACTTCACAGCCACGAGCACCTATAATGAACTTCACAAGCACACTGAGAGATACAGCAGTATTAACATCAGTTATGATCTTCACCTGGTACATGCACAGTTCTTCATATGGGTTTTAGAGCTTTGACTCTGAACAAAGCGTTCATGAGCATGAATTCCCTAACTTTATTCTTCTATTGTTTTTAAGTGACACTGAATCAGTTCCAACCCACAGCGACCCTGTATACGGTTTCCCAGGAGCAGCTGGTGAGCTTGAACCAGTGACCTTGTGGTTCAAACTGACTTTGCATTCCAGCGCATTAACCCACAGCGCCACAGCAGGACTGTAGAATAGTCTCTCCTTTCTTGGCACACTATTCTTCTAGTCTATCAAAATAAGGAAGCAAGCAAAACACAAGTTGCTAACTACACCAATTGACTTACGTGTGAGTTCTTTACCACAATACTCTATTAAGTCCTGCATGACTAAGTTTGACCTGGCTGGCTACCAACTTGAGAACAAATGATAGTGAAGAGAACGTCTCCTGCCCAGGCCCACAAATACATCTTTATCTGCAATCTCCCTTACTTGCTTTGATTTCAGAAGGTGTTCCTTCTGCTCAAGATTCATTTTTCTACCCAAGAGGCTTCCTCTTCTCTTCGACCTAGCTTTACTGGTTACCCCTGTAAGCCATGACTTTTTCTCTAGACATGAATACGAAATACTCATGCTAATTTCTATTTATCCACTACCCTTCCTTGCCTCCACAGTTCTTTTACAGTGAGGTCCTACAAAGAAATTAGGTGAAATTGCAGTCTTTAATTTCTCACTTCCCACGCATTTTATAAGGGAGAAATTTTTAGCTTCAACACCCACCATTCCATGGAGCTGTCTACCATCTGTGTAAGCAACGATCTGCTGCGGCTAAATTCAATAGACATTTCTCCACCATTACCTACTTGACTGACTTCTCCAAGGCTGCATTACAATGTTCTCCACCCTGCCTGATGTGTGACCCTGCTGAGCTGCCTTTCCCCCTTTCCCCAGCTTGTCCAGGGAAGGTAGATACCACTCCAAGGCTCCGTCCTCCGCTGCTCTTGACATTCTTTTCACACTCCTCCCCTGGACAAGAGGATTTATTCCCAAGGCTTCAACAACTAGCACCTGCTTGTCAATGTTTCCTGAATTCACACCTTCAGTTGTAAACCCATCTTTTTAGTAAGAGACCCATAAGGTCACGAACAGCCTACAACTGGATGGCCCACCGGCCACATCTTCGGAAATGTTGTGAGTTAGTTATCAAACACAGCCATTCTTAAAAACGACATTATGTAAACTTACAACTAAATACATTATATTGAAAACAAAGATAATCAGTATTTTAAAAAAATCACTTCCTAACTATTTAACTACATTTGACTGTTCTCTGTGATCCCAAGATTATTTATATCTGCATTGCTAAGTGCCTTTGAGTTGGGATCCAACACATAGCGACCCTGTACAGGGTTTCCAAGGAGCAGCTAGTGAGTTGGAACTGCCGGCGGAAACTGCCCAAACCGACGATGCAGTTTACCGCATTAACCCGCAGCGCCACACCAGAAGTCCTGTTATGTGCCTGGGAGGACTAAGACAACGGTATGATGGGACGGTACAGTGCTTCTGTCCCCACTGTGCTCAGGGCTGCCACACTGATGACCTGCACTTGGCTACAGTGGAAATAGTACACCAGGGCAAGCGGCAAATGCTAAAAATGAGGGCTTCATTTATTCTGTTGATTGTCCAGACTTAAGAAAGTAACAGAGAAAATGTCAATATTTAGATTAAAAAAAAAAGATGTGTGTATAGGCATTTTGTTGTGAGCAGCATAAAAAAATGAAATATTCTTCTAATGTTTGAAAACTCCTATCTGCTTCAGCAGTAAGTCACTCCCCATTGACTAAGGGTAAATTTCTGACATATGTCTAAGTTGTCACTTTAGTTTCACTCTTTATCTTAAAGAAAACATCGACGTCAAAATTACACTCCTTCATTAATCGCCAACAGAGGATGCTTACAACACAACAGCTAAAGGTGACAAACAACTGAAGCACTGATTCCATGAGAATCAATGGGCTCTCCGGAATTTACAGTGAAGAGTACTGTATATTTCACTGTACATTTCATTTGTCAACAGAGGACTTCTATTGTTGTTAAGTACCATGGATTCTGTTTCCGAGGCTGCAAATCTTTACAGGAGCAGAAAGCCTCATGTTTCTTCTGCAGAACAGCCACTAATTTCGAACTGCCGACCTTGAGGTTAGCAGCCCGATTCGTGACCACTACTATAGGTCCCTTAAATCTGTACCATTTGTAATAAACACACACCCACTTTCCCCAGAGTGTCAGCTGGTAAACACGAAGCAGCACGGGCATCTCCAGCGCTGATTCACCAGCTCTTCTCATCTAACATTTGTTGTTCTGAATGGACACAGGACTCCACGATTATCCAGGTCAGAAAGCGAGCAGCCTCCTCAGACTTCTCGTCTGTTTTCCACTTTTCCCCATTCAATTGCCTGCTCTCCTGCCACCACTCAGTAGTCCTCCCTAAACAGGGCCTCCCTTTCCATTTGCCCCAGCACAGCTGTGCTGCATGAGCTGGCCACTGGCCACCTCTCAGATTACATCTAGTTCCTGCTCCAAAACTTCTCTGACTTCAGGCTCCCTTAAGGACACAGGTATCTTTTATATATCCTTGTGTTCTACTACACATCATGGCGTCCTGGTGTGGCGCTGTGGGCTAAAGTGTCAAGACTACAAAGTCATTTGAACAGCAAGGTCGGTGGTTCAAGCTCACCAGCTGCTCCTTGGGAACCCTATACAGGGTCACTATGGGTCAGAATTGACTCCACAGCACTTAACAACAGCACATATCATATACTACCTGTACACAGAAGGCATTTAATACCTATGAGGTAAGCTGACAAATTAGGGCTTTGTTATAAAGGAGGACAATTAAGTAAGGTCCTCCAAATACATATGGAGTCTGGCTCCTTCATGTAAAATGCAAGACTTAAAAACGTCATAACCACAGAAATGCAAACACTGTCTTTTACTAATGGCCAATTAAGGCCACACCTGGTGTGGTGCCGTGACTCAGCACTGGATTGTGAACCATCGAGATAAGCAGTTCAAACCCATCAGCTGCTCCTTGGAACCCCGTAACAGGGTTGCTATGAGTTGGAATCAAGTCAACAGCACTAAACAACAACAAATAACAACCTTTCGTAAGGAACTACCATTTGGAATAAACACATAAATTTGTTAATTATCATTGTATTTGCCAAATGTTTTTTAACCATCGTAAACATACTGTCACCTCTTATTAAATGCAGAAAATTTCTCTGCCCCAGGAAGGAATTTTAAAATTCCAACAATGTTGCTAGGGCCGTTGAGTTGGTTCTGACTCATAGCAACCCTGTATGGAGTTTTTGAGGAGCAGCTTGTGAGTTTGAACTGCCGACCTTGTGGTTTGCAGTCCAGTGCTGATGCTACAGGATCAGGAACCAGGAGTCCATACAAATATGAGGGGCTTTGTGGGAAAATGGAATGAAAGGATCATGGAATTTTTTCATGAACTTTCTGAAGCCCCCTTGTACCGTATCTGTTTCATAAAACAAATCACCAAGCTTACTAAAATTAAAGCAAGAATGCTACGATAGCGAATGAAATCTGACTGCTAATGTCACTCATTACATTTGGTTCTGAGTCACTCATTACATTTGTTAAGTTCTTTACCCTAGGCCAGACTCTGCTGTAGATACTGGAAATACATCAACAAAAACTCTCATGAAAGTCACATTCTAGTGGAGCCAAACAATTTATAAAGACATAAACTAATAAAACAAATTTGTCAGTTGTGGACAAGTGTAACAAAGAAAAACAAAACCACGTAAGAAAGGATACAGCCGGAGGAGCAGGGATGGAGCGCTATTTCCTATTAGGTAAGTGTGGGAATATCCAATGGAAGAGTGGTTCAGGCAGGGGAACCAGATTGCAAAGGTGCAGAGACAAGAGCACAGCGAATGAAAGCACAGTAATGAGGTTAGTGCAGCTGGAATAGATCAGAGAAGGGAAGTACATGCAGATGGGGTCAAAGACTACAATAAAAACCTGAGATTTCACACTGAGTAAGAAAAGAAGTCAATGGAGGGGTACAAGCAGAGACGTGACATGCATGATGTGATTAATTTTAAAGGATGATTCTGGCTGCTGATGGGAAATAAACTATAAAGGGACAATGGTGGAAGGAGGAGGCTTCTGCAGTAGTCCAGGTGAGTATATATAACAGTGAAGGTTGTGAGGAGCTGACGCTAAATACAATCGATCGAAAGGCAGCACACCAAGAAGACATGCTGATGGTTTAGATGTGGAATGTGAGCGAAAGAAGAGTCAAGATGACAGCAATGTTTTGTCTGAGCAGATGAGTCACTGTTTTCTGAGATGGGAAAAACTGTAGAAAAATCAGGTTTTAAAGGGTGCTGATGATTCTGAAGCCTTTCCTCATTTGCTGAGTAACAGGTTAATTAATTATCATTAGGATCATGAACTAAAGAAACCTGTCTTAAAAAGAAATGGTCCCTTCCATCAAC